AACGCGAAGAAGATGAAGACTTCTTACAATATGTACAGGTTACAGGTTTTCTATTATTGACTACCCAGATGAGTCTTGGCAGTACACATGTGCGCATATATAAACTGCATTAACTTCTTTTAGAGAGTACTTTCCAGTCCTTTTTAGAACGAATTTTTTCGTTATTTGAAGACCTACTCTGGCTCTTGAAAGGGGAAGCTTTATAGCCTGGCCATAAATATGGCCTAAAGGCTGAACGCTGTTTCTGGGACCTCTCCACGGTGATCCTCACCCACATGGTGGCACATTGTGTCATCGGGTGTTTATCGCTTGTGTGATGTCCTGGTGGGGTAGAAAGTCAGTCAGTCAGTCAGTGGAAAGAAGTTCTTAGAATACAATGGACCGAGAAAACGAAAAACACCGACATTCTACGTTCTACGTGATGTGAACATTGGAGAAAACTGGCTCATAAACAGCATCCCGCCTCGAAAGCCGAGTTACTTTTAGCTTTGCCAAACGTCATGGTGGCCCGGAGTCTTCAGATATTATTTCCACAAACAGCAATCCTGGATATGAAAACCAGGAGGTGGGGTTGTCTGACCACGTGGCCTTCCAGTATGCCGCAATGAGAGCGACGTTCTGCAAAGGACTTACTACATGCTGACGATGGTTATGATAATGAATTCCGTCGATCCTTAGCCAGTTCATTATCATCATCATCAGGTGCCTTGCCGACTGGCGTGGGCATCATGCCTCTCCATAATCTGCGATCTCCTGCAGCATGTATCAGTTCGTGTGCCGACACAATTCCATGCCATGCAACAAGACTGACAAGCATCCTCTCTCGTTGTCTTCCTCTATCCCTCCTTCCACAGATCTTTCCAGTGGTCACAACATGTTCTATTTTCCCTCTTCTCATAACATGACCAAACAATGATGACTGTCTCCTTCTGATGTCGGTGATAAGCTGTCTTCGGGCTCACACCTCTTTCAAAACCTCTTGGTTGCTCTTTTTGCTGTCTAAAAAGTTCATTATAATATGAGATAATGGTTCGTGTTTTCCCTTTTCCTTGTCACCAACACAGAGATGGCGTACACCATGTCCGAACCATTTAACCTCAGAAGCCGGAGAGTCTACTTCCTGTCAACCTACCTGATGCAGTATGCCCAAGCTCTTGTAAGTTTTGTTTCGTGTCATAAACTTGACAACGGTTAATTTTTTAAAGACACATGAGCGGGGGTGTTTGAGTGTCATCGCAAAGGAAAAAGTAACATAGGGTTTGTAAGTTAAGTAAAGAAGCCTTGTCCACGCCTTCGGGTGTATTGGGCATATAGGGCTAGACCTAAATTTTATAGACCAGTCGGCACTTGGTGGGTGATGTGGCCAACACCACGCAGGCCGCATTTAATTTTCAGGACATTTTCTAGAACTCATATGATTCTACGTCTAACTAGGAGCTAAAGTAAATTATAAAACTATTCATCTGGATGGGGATTGGAACCTAAGGCTTTCGAATGGTCAGGCAAAGATCTAGCCACTACACCACCGCTGCTGTCGGAGTATGTAGGTGTGGTGAAAATTTAGGACAGATATTAACGATGTAAGCAAAGAACTTCAGTATACGACTTATCACAATGAGAGAGCCAGTTGAGAAGTGTCTTACATGACTTAGGGTGTCCCAAACGGGAAAGATATCAAGTGATTTAATGTTTACCCAAGACAATTTTGAGGACAGATATTTAACGATGTAAGCAAATGATATATACAGACACAGACATTTAGTTATGAGCTGAGTTATCTTGACAGCTCTCCGGACACGTCCATAGGTGCTCAGATTCCCACTTCAACATGTACATAAGTGACCTGCGGTTAATATGCTCGTCCTATGCTCGTTAGCAAGACTTTTTGTACGTCCAACGTGCATCTTATTCTTGGCTGTGCCGATCTTTACTCCCAGTTCTCATATTTTTAGTAGTGACGTGCAAACACTGCTCCCAAAATCCTTGGATTGTCCTATCTCTCTATGGGCATTAACAATGTCGGCGTGATCCATTGCCTGACCATGTGCAATTAAAGCAGAACCGGCCACTCTGTCAGCGCTTGCATTGTCAAAAAGGGTTAGAATGACAGGCAAGATTTGTGTCATTTTTTTTCTTTCCTTTTACCGTAGTCTGCTTTGTGTCGCTAGGCGTTAACAGATTATCTGTATCCGGGATTTAATATATTATCAGTATCTGGGATTTAACAGAATATCTGTATCCGGGATGTAACAGATTATCTGTATCCGGGATAGGTTAGGTTTTGTTTGTGAAGTCTCACGCTTTCGGTAACTCCTTCAGTCCATCTTCCTCTTGGTCGTCCCTTGCTTCTTGGTATTTCTACTTTCATGTCGTACGCTATCGTACTTTGAGCAGTATCTTTTTATCTCCCTGGTAAAAGAGGACGTAAAGAAGAAGGCGCTATCGTTGCTCCATCATTGGATTTATTCTTAAGAAATGGCCAAATCATTTGAGTCTGTTTTTCACTTATATTAATTATAGCTGTTGCTGCAATAGTTCTTGTAATTTCTCTGTTTCTCACGTGATCTCGTCTAATGTTGTTCACGGTCTTTCTCGGACATCTCATTTCGCAGGTGGTCAGATGTCTGGGCTGGATAAATGGGTGTGGAGGGAGATAGGGTGGATCGGTGAGCTAACACACGCACACACACACTGACACACACACACACACACTGACACACACACACACACACACACACACACACACACACGCCACACATGCACACAACACAGACACCTGTTATATTATTTCGGTTTGTCTGTCTCAAAACTATGTAGTTGTCTGTCTATTGGCAGTGTACCAGCATAAGCTAATTACTGATTACTGATTTAAGAATTGACATCATAGCAGACCAAGCATACCTATAGATGCGCTGTCTCCAGCAGCAAATGTTTTAAGATGTATATGCCGACTGTTTCTGTAGCACACTGATTATACACACATCGTTCTCTTCCTCTCATCCGTCCGTCCTTTTCCGGATCCACTCCTAATTTCTCGTTCACACATTCTTGCACATCTTATTTATCTGGTCTCATGTCTTCTATCAACATTCGTTCACATATGGTCTTCAGAATATCCATTACCCAGTATGATTGTTTCCGTAGCTTTCGCATTTGTAGCCAGAAAATCCACTCTTTCATTCCCTCGCACTCCTGCATATCCCAGACAGTATATCCAGGCGATTGCCTGTCATGTTGGCGTACTGATGCATGGTATCCACTCACGCCACATTAGTCCATTTTGAACCTTCCACAATGCCGACTGAGAATCAGACACTATAATGCCTCGGGTGACTTTGTTTTCTGCTATACAATTCAGAGCTGCAGTGATTGCCTCCACCTCCATTCTCATGCTTGAAGTTGTAGATAAAAAAGCTAAATTTTGTTCTGCCACAATGTTTCCCTTCATTTTCGCTGAAAATCTTCAGTCAAATCTTACACCCCGATGAACAGAACCATCGGTGTTCACTACTGCATCATCTAGCCTAGCCTTTCCATCTATCAGTTGTTGTACCTCTAATTCTGCCATACCGCTACACCACTCTCTCCATTCTCTTCCTAACGTGATAATGACCTGATAGAAACTGTTGTGGGTGTTCGTGTCGATCCATTCCTGCTCCCCGTGTATTTATTTAATAGAGGCCGCCGTCTCGAAGGTATCTTCAGCTAGTGCCATCCAGGACTTTCTTCTTTTCACCCGGTCTCCTCGTTCAGATTACCATGCAGCGGATGCCTTTCATCATTGGTAACTCACACATAGGCCTTGGCTTGCCCCAGTGACAGTCAAGACTTGACCGATGTCGGTCCAAGCATATATTTCATTGTTCTAACTGGGGTATCGCACAATAAGCTAAATGGTTATCAATGAACTCATATACCTGTTGGAATATTCCAGGAAGCCTGCAAAGCACTGGGTGGCAGTATCGCAGAGATGAACGATCCTATGGAATACACATTTGTGGCAAACTTTCTAAGTAAGAATTTTTACTACAGTATCCTCCTCTGTTTCTTCTGTATTGTTCTCCTTCTGTTCCTCTTCTTCCTTCTCGCATTTTCCTCCTCATTTTCCTCCTCATCTTCCTCCTTGTCCTCCTCCTTCTGAGTGTTTTTTCTTGTTCGTACCCTCACAGAGTGTTGCCGTTTCCTTGTGTTAGGTGTCATGTGATGGGGATGACGCTGGTAGTTAATGATGATGATGATTATGATGAAGGTTATCTCTCGTCCTGGTGTGTAGTCTCTCTCTCTATCTCTCTATCTCTCACTCTCTCTCTCTCTCTCTCTCTCTCTGTGTGTGTGTGTCTGTCTGTCTGTCTCCCTGTCTCGTTCTGTCTCCCTGTCTCTCTCCGTCTCCCTGTCTCTCTCCGTAATCATGGCCCTCTCTCAAGCACCTATGTGTCACATTGGGGGAAGGGGGATGTGTCTAGTTTAATACTATTGTTATTCTTATTACTATTCTTAAGGCAATGTTTCAGTTTATTTTCTTGCGACTTCATTTCTCATTTTTATCAGTCTGATCACTTGCATAGCTTTTATCAGACATCTCGTTTCCATGGTTACTCATTTCTAGCTTCTCAACTTTCTCCCACTTAATTAAACAGTATGTTCCACAAAACAGACACAAATAATTTCATGTCATGCTTGTTCCAGGAACATACACTCGAGATTCTGATGAGGTCTTTATTGCCGGATACCGAACCGCCAACGAAGGTAGCTTTATATCTTCCGTTGGCGTTGACATGCTCAGTCAAATCATCGCCTTCGACGAAGGCCGAGGCAACAGGAAAAGTCACGGCAATAGCTCCTTGTACACCTACTTCCACCCGAACCGTCCTAGACAACAAGATAAACTCCCAACGTGTCTAAGCATTGAGCGAAGGGGCAACATCCTGGCAATGGTCAATGGAAGATGCGCTGACGAAAACTACCAGCGGTATTTGTGTGAAGCCGATATTTCGGCCTAATATGGTTCGGACATGACGACTTAATTAAATTGTTGATTTCAAGAAGCATATTCTAGAACTGAGTTGCATTGGATTATTTCATCTATTGTTTCCAAAAATATATTATAAAATAATTTGCACTGGGTTATTTGGTAAGAAAAATGTAAACAACACTGTTCCAAGAGTTCATGGGTATTGGGCATATAAGGCTAGACCTCTAGTTTATAGACCAATCGGTCACTTGATAAGTGATTTGGTCAACATCACGGGGTTATCTGGTAGGTAGATAATATTCTTTTAAAGATTAGGTTGCACGATTGTTAAGCAATACACTAACAAACGACTTTACAATTGTCAACCAGTGTAACAACACTACACAACTGTATGTAAATTTGTACAGTTAAGACTATTTAATTGTATATCATTACAGTCAAACCGGTACAATCGTAAATCACTACAGAAAATGTGTAGAATTGTAAATCATCACAGTGAAATCTATACAGCTGAAACTCACTGTAGTCAGATCTGTACGATTGTAAATTAGTACAGTAAAATCTGTGCCAGTGTAAATCAGTACAGTAAAATTTGTACAACTTTAAATCAAAACTGAATTCTGTACAATTGTAAATCAATACAGTAAAATATGGACAACTGTAAGCCAAAGCAGTAAAAATGTGTACAATTGTAAATTGGTACAGTAAAATATGTACATTTGTAAATCATTAAAGTAAAATATGTACAGTTGTAAATCACTACAGTAAAATTTACTTTCGACATTACCGACTTTGAAGACTTTCAATAGCAAGATCCTAGGGGCAATAGCTGTACTTGTGACATTCTTGGCACTTGTCGTGGATGCTCGTAGGATAAGAGCGCCACAACATGGGGGAACTGTATTTAAGGGTCGCCACAACATGAGGGAACTGTATTAAAGAGTCGCCACACCATGAGGGAACTGTATTTAGGAGCGCCACAACATGAGGGAACTGTATTTAAGAGTTCGCCACAACATGAGGGAACTGAATTTAGGAGCGCCACATGAGGGAACTGTATTAAAGGGTCGTCACAACATGAGGGAACTGTATTTAAGGATCGTGGCACTAAGACGGTTGAGATCTACCCCCATAAGGACAGATGACAGCAGATAACACGCCGGGACGACAATCATCACATAAAATATACTTTTTTCTTCTTCTTCGCGTTCACCGGCTGTAAACTTCGGTGGAAAGTTTTGGTTATTTGTGCACCTCTGGACTGTAGTCTTGTTCCAGAACCAGCGTGTTGTGTGCACATCCGTTTAACAGATCTGACATGTTTGTTGGCTCCTCGCCTCTCAGGTTGATGCACTTCCACTTCAAAAAAGGCCTCCAATAGGTCGACTTTTACGACATAATGGTTGGGGATAAAGTGGGTCTATTCTTGTGTGTCCCACAACAGGGCCCAAGAACCCACACGGGGAACACAGATCATAAGGAACAGTGATACTCAAGACACAAGAAACACAACCAGGAACATAAACGTGCAGTACGGAACCTCTAGCTGGGACCACACGATTAACAGGAAAGACTTAGGAATCTTCAGAAAGAAACACTGGGGCAAACTGGCAACTAATCAGCAAAAGCACTCTGTGACTTCGCACCAGTTCTTGTTTTGTTTTCTAAATGTTGTTAAAAGAAAAGAATCACCTTGAAGGAAATGTGGGAGTGAAGGTTTCAAATTTGAAATAACAAAGGAAACATAAAACTATTGAGGGGCAAAAAAACAAAACAATGTTGGTAGAAATGTGAGAGAAAAAGAAGAATGTAGGAGATAGCTCTAGGGAAAGAGAGACAGAGATAAGGGGGAGCTTGGTGAGAGAACAGCAACGAAACAAGAGAGGGACAAACAAAGTAGAAACATAAAAAGGGATAGAATGATCGAGGCAGAGACCCACACAGACACACAAAAGAAAGGGGGGAAATGGCGGATACAGGACGAGTAAAAGCGAGAAAACAAGAGAGGCAACGAAACAACAAATAAAACTAGGACGAGTAAAAGCGAGAAAACAAGAGCGCAACGAAACAACTAATAAAACAATCATTAGAAGTGGCGGGAAAGAGTAGAAGAAAAACCAGAAAACAAGAGGGAGAGAGAGAGAGAGAGAGAGAGAGAGAGAGAGAGAGAGAGAGAGAGAGAGAGAGAGAGAGAGAAAGAAATAGAGACAGGGAGAACTGGGTGTGTATATATCACAGTCTTGTTTAATTTCTGCAATGACTTTCTTTCTAACTCAGTCCCTTGGCTCTAGTAATTTCCAGACTTCTCAAGTGCACACCGACTCACGGTTAAACATGTTGAATCAATGAACGAGACGAACGCACAGCTGATGATGGTGGCAGTTCGTTTACACAACTGTCTCCGAGCCAGCGCACACTCAGGTAACGGTCTAGGGACCGCATCTAGACAACTGATCGCAAAATGTCCATTTCAGTGAATAATTACCTTCATAAAAGAAGCCAACGGCGCCTTCTCCATGACAACCAGCCGCATGACGATGGAGGTGATGGCAGTAACGCAAGCGTTTGCCTGGCTCGAAACACAAAAATACACCCGCGTATGTATATTCAGTGATTCAATGAGTATAATCCGGAGGGTTCAGGCAGGTTCGGTGCAAAGACAATGGCTTGAATCATTACAGAAGTCTGTGCGTGGAGTCACCTTTATTTTTTGTTCCGGGAGACACAGGTGTAGATGGAAATAAAAGAACTGATAGGTTGACTGGATCCGCTATCACTACCGACGGTCACCCTATGGATCAAGCTTATATTATTAATGCCCTCAGAGAAATGGGGAAGGATAGAGGACTTTGGTGGCAGTGAATCCACATCACTCGCCAGAATGGCAGACTTGGGAATTAAGATCGGTATAGAAAAAAAAACGAAACACACACCAGACACACCAGAAGACTTGTTAATCAACATAGAACTGGTACTATTAGCCATCGGACGTTGGGGTTCATACTGAGGGGAGGATCTGAGCACCTTTGGACATGTCCGGAGTGCAATGATGATAACCCAACTAACTAACTAACTAACTAATTACCTTCATAAAGAAAACACAATGAACAGTTCCACGGCGACAGCTTGACATTGACAATCTTTCATGCTAAACAGACACAACAAGTCCAGCCTTGACCAGAATTGTCAGACCGAAAGGTAGCCAGGTTTTGTCTAGGAACTCAAAGCCAAATCTGGTTCCACTTTTAATTTGATTCATTTATCCTCATCACAGACACAACGTTCCTGGAGGCGAAAACAAGACTAGATCATTCTTCGACTTAAGTACTCTTTCATTCCTCCATGTTTTTCGATCATTCACTCAAATAATTCCGGATTTGTGCATGCGCCTGTCGATCTTCTCGCTTGCCTTGCATTCAGACATGTAACTCCTCGTTCGTTCTTATCCCAATTCATCCGAACTGAAGTACATAATTTATGTTCATTGTCTAACCTCATTATTAATGCAGACATTAATTATCAGGAGAAAAATTACTCGTTACAACTATGGAACCCTGTAAGGAAGGCACAACAATTTCCGTTAAAAAAAATCCCCTGGCAGTTGCAAATCGAAAAGAGGAGCGTAACGGCACTGCCCGGGCAACATTTTGAGTTAAAAATCGACCCAATGAATTTCAGGATCATTGCTGGTGCTACAGAGCCTGTGCACTGTGCTGAACTTTGTCGGACTCAGACTCGAGTTAGAAGAGGAACGGAGCACTTATGGGTTACTACTCGTGTGCCGTGATGTTGACCCTTTAGTCAAACTTAGAACTACTTTTGTTATTTGACTCTTTGAACTATATGCCTGTTTTTCTTCGTGTCCTCCTCTTTTTTCATCACATTATATTATGTTGGGCAGGTTGTGTGTGCGTGCGTGCGTACGTGAAAAGGGTGAGATTAAAGACAACGGGACTAGAAAATTTAGAACCGAAAATCTACAGGATAAATTACTTACGGGAATCAAAATTTCCTTTAACACCGTAAGAAATGTTCACAGTTTTGGGCTTCGCTATGTAACAGATATTCCAAACATAGTTTTGCAGAGTTTAACTTAAGCCAAGGTTAAATTAAAGCGAGCTAGTTCTCTGATTCAAACAGACAGGCGCACATTAGTTATAAACCTATTCCAATTTCCAGATTGCTGTTTCTCAAAATTAGCCGCATTTCTAAATAAAGTTGCAGCTTTGAAGTTTGGCTTCTGTGCTATATCTTTGCCTTCGAGTGTGACGTTGTTAACTACATTGATGTAAACCAAGCTTACGTAAGACTCACATTAGATGGGTCCGTAGTTAGGCGGAGTTTTTTTTTAATAGGGTTGGCGGGGGAGGGGGGGTGAGGGGTAAGGGGTGGTAAGGGTTTAAAGGAAGTTTTGGGGGGAACTTTTAACAGTAGACCATCAGGGAGGAAGGCGACAGGAAGACCAAGAAAGAGATAAATAAATGATGTGGATGAAACTTGCAAAAAGTTGAACAAATCCATCACTGACGCCACCCGAGAAGCGCAAGACAGATACAGAAAACCACGCCACTGGACTACAACCTGGTAACAGTGAGACGACAAAATAAGAAGGAAAAGAAGAAGAAGAAGAAGAAAAAAAAAGAAGAAGAAGAAGAAGAAGAAGAAGAAGAAGAAGAAGAGAAGAAGAAGAAGAAGAAGAAGAAGAAGAAGAAGAAGAAGAAGAAGAAGAAGAAGAAGAAGAAGAAGAAGAAGAAGAAGAAGAAGAAGAAGAAGAAGAAGAAGAAGAAAGAAAGAAAGAAAGAAAGAAAGAAAGAAAGAAAGAAAGAAAGAAAGAAAGAAAGAAAGAAAGAAAGAAAGAAAGAAAGAAAGAAAGAAAGAAAGAAAGAAAGAAAGAAAGAAAATTAGACAGAAAGAAAGAAAAATGACAAGGGAGAAATGAAAAAAGGTATGTACGAAAGAAAGAAAGAAAGAAAGAAAGAAAGAAAGAAAGAAAGAAAGAAAGAAAGAAAGAAAGAAAGAAAGAAAGAA